CAAGGATGCACGGAGCATCTGAGCTGGTCACGGTGGGGTGTATTTGCCACTCCTTCCCAGTCAGGCTTATCTCAGCCTCCAACACAGTCAATTGCTGAGAGCCCCCAGTCACACCAGAAATACTGATGGGCTGCACCCCTTTATAGCTTGATGGCATGAGGGGACACTATGCACCCGTGTCCACTAGAGCTTTATACTGCTGTGGCTCTGATGTGCCAGGCCATCGAATCCACACAGTCCAGTAAACACAGTTGTCCTTCTCCTCCACCTGGCTGGAGGCAGGGCCCCTCTAATACTGACCTGCTTCACTCATGTCATGTCTTGTAAGAAAAGACTATTGCTTCTTTGCATAAGATAAGGTCTTCCATCCTGTCTGGGGAACTGCAAACTGGAGACCGGAGCTGCAGTTTTCCTGGAAGAATCCCCACTTGTGATTGTGTTCCCTTTCAATTCATGTACGCGTTCCTCTAGGATTGAAGTAGATCTGCCATCCCACCTCATCCTATCCTCTGTGTGGTCACAAAGGTAAAACCACAGGGTAATCCATGGTGGATACCTTGTGTATTCATTCCTTTGAGCAGAGGAACACTTACTGCTCACAGCTGAGATACTGGCTTGTACAGGTGGGGAGTGGCCCATCTCCTCTTTGAATTGCTTGACCTCCTGGGACAGTTTCTCCACAGCCAAGATGCAGGCCTGTATGAGGGAAGAGATACTTTCCTCATATTCCCGGAGGTGGGGAACCACCTCCTCCACTGTTGGTGCCTCTTCGTTTTTCCAGGCCATTACTGCCACCATGTTGGCATACGAGGGTGGTTGGCATACGAGGGTGGTGCACTCTGTGGCACTTTCTACCATGTAGGTTGTGTGCATTGAACTTCATCTGCGTCTGTGGGTAACAGTGCATTGTTCGGCTCATGATAAACCATTTCCAGCACAGCTAATTCCCTCAGGCACTGAACACCTTTCTCTATGGCAATCCACTTGCCTGGGTGATAGAGAACACCTTCCTTGAAGGAATGCTTTTCCTTCGTGCTCGTCAGGAGTTGTCTCCAGATTTTGTGTCCCTTTTCCACTTGTTTTGTCAATACCCCCTTTTCCAGAAAGTGACCCCAACTTCTCTGCCCTCTGATTCCATGCTACTGGTCCCATTATCCAAGCATCGGAGCAGCCAGGTGATAATGTACTCACCAAGATGATGGCCAAAATCTTTTTGCATATCCTGTTGCTCAGCCAGGGATAAAGATCAAGCGGTTACCTCTTGTTCTGCCTCTTCCTCTGGCTCTGGCTCTTGTGACAGCACTGCTATGTCCTCCTTCACCAGTCGGGTGATTTGTGTGTCCATTTCTTTGTACTGGGGTGACTCACGCTGACACTGGGGGATTCAGCCGGTTCCCTGGTTACCAGGATCTGAGCAGCTGCAGTGCCTGTTGTTGGGGGTTGAGTAGCCAAATGCCATGTCATCAGCATCAGAGTAGCTGCAGTGCCCATGGCAGGGGTGGAGTAGCCGCATTTCTAGCCATGGGGGTTAGGGTCACTGCCTTGCCCATCACAGGGGTTTGGGTCGCCACATCGCCCATTGTGGGGTGTGTGGGTAGCTGCCCGGTGCTGCATTCAGGCCAAGCACCCGTAGCAGGTGGGGCAGCATTTCCAGGTAGTTGTTTAACCTTGAGCAAGATCTGGAGAACATTCAGGAGCAATAGGACACTCCAAGAGCATGACAAATTTCCAAAATACTCATACGCTGTTGCCGCTGGCCTGGCAGAAAAGGGAAAAAATTGGGACAATTTTTTTGAGGAGAAAAGGTGAAAGGTGTAATTGTTAATAGTCTCCAGGAGATGGCACCCCTGGTGTCGGGGTGCAGACAATACCTAATTGTTCCCACCCCCACTTTTACACCGCCCAGCCAAGCAAGACCCTTCAACCCGTCTCCAGCGCTAATAAACAGCATAGCAAGGGACAGGCAGGGCAGTAGATCCCACAGTTCTAACAACCACTCTGAGAGCGAAGAACTCAACATCCTGACCAGCCACCACCAAATAAATCACTATGGATGCTTATAACAATTCCGTTTTAACACGTAGTAGTCAGAGCTGTTGTTATCTCAACCCTACGTGCCCCGTGCTGGGTGCCAAAAAGGACTGTCATGGTTTAACCCCAGCCAGCAATTAAGCACCACTCAGCCGCTTGCTCACTTCCCCCATCCACCAGTGGAGGAGGAGAATTGGAGGAAAAGACAAGGAATTACTCATGGGTTGAGATAAGAACAACTTAATAATTGTATATAAATGAATGAAATAGTGATGCTGATAATATGAACAATACTACTAATAGTAATATGTAATGAAAATGAAACAAATGATACAGTTGCTCAGAACCCACCGACGGATGCCCAGCCAGGTCCCAAGAACACGGGCGCAGCACGAGAAACTTAAAAAGTCCTCCAACTGAGACAAATATCCCTTAGCAACAACTGAAAACACCAACATTACCCATACCCTTCTCAGCACAAATCCAAACCAGCCTCATACAGCTACTGTGAGGGAAATCAACTCTGTCCCGACCAAAGGCAGCACACCGCAGTATCATTGCTGTGTGCTAGTTTACTTGTAAATGTCACTCCAGGAGACATTCAAGAATATGAATGTGAGTCTGCTCTCAAAAACGGTGATGTCTCATTTTCTCTCCTCTCTAAGGCTTGATTCATGCTCTAATTCTGTTGCTACATCAGCTTGTGGTGGCTGTTGTTTTTCTCCTGAAGAAATTACTTTTCCTTTAAATTGTTTTAATGCAGCAAGTCAAAACTCCTCGACGAGCACAGATGAGTTTAAGACGTGCTTTTCAGACATGCAGTATGTTCAGTTACTGTTTTCTACAAAGGATGCTGCTAATCTGCTGTGCTCTCAGATGAGTGCCTTATTAAAATCTTCACATTTTATGGTGCCCATTAGTAAAAATATGAAATAAGATAATTACCCAAATTCCCTGTTTGTTGGAGTGTAATTTGATACTTAAAAAACACACGTTGGTTTATAGCTGGGATTATGAAAGGACAGCGCTGTCACGTAGGGATGTGCCGTGGTGAGAAGCAGGCAGCAAGTACTTTTTGAGAACGTTTCTTTCTTTTCCTCCCATTTCATTTCAAGTTTTTGGTTTACCAAATGAAATCTAAAGGTTAAAAGTTACCGTCTCACTTGAATGCGTGATGGAGAAAGACGGAGAGGGAGCAGGTTCTGCTGCAACCCCTTCGTTGTCAGTAATGTGTGTGTAGATTTCATCAACTTCAAAAGAAGCTTAATTATTTTAATTATTATTATTAAATATTATTATCTATTTAATTGCTAATCTGCTTGTGTGTGTAGAACAAATCCTTTCTTAGCTTATGAATCAATGTAGTAATTTTGAATATTTTGTGTTGATTAGCTGCTTGCTTGCGTGATTAACACGGGCATTTATCTTCCTTCCTTACATATGTTTGTGCATAGGTCGACAAGGAAACTTAACTTGCCTTTTTGGCCCTGCAACAGCACTACTAATATAAACCAGACTAGGGTATCCAACTAAGCTTAATGTTTCTGTCTTTTGTTTTTTTCTTGCAGAGCTGGAGTGGACCAGAGAAATTACTTGCTTTAGATGAACTCATTGATAGCTGTGAACCAACGCAAGTAAAACACATGATGCAAGTGATAGAGCCCCAGTTTCAAAGAGACTTCATTTCCTTGCTCCCCAAAGAGGTGAGAAATAGAGGTTAACGCTGGCCTGTGCGGCGCATCACCTGCCACCTCTTGAAAACTTCCAGGCTAATCGCGGCTTTGCCGACGCAGCGATGCGAACCGGGGTTGGCAGTCCGCGGTCTGGTACGCCACCGTAACGCAGCTGCTGCTGTTTGAGATTAACACACCTTTATCTCTCAATAGGCATTTTGGTACCTGGAAATGCGGATGACTCCTTTGAACAAAATCGAGTAGCTTGAAACGTATCTCTCTATCTCAATTGGGCTGGTTGTGGGGGTGTTCCTGGGAACTAATTCTGTCAGGGCGCGCGCACACGTAAACTTCCTCTGGATGCGAGGCCTTTCTGCACATCATTCTGTAAGCATAAGCATTATTGTTTAATGCTTGAAGTGGTGGGGTTTTTGTGAATATTATCTTTGAATTTTTAAACAAACTGAGCCCTAAAATCGCTACCAAAGCAACCAGAAGTGAACTCAGAAAAGCACTTCTCACTGAGGAGAAAGCCAAACCCTAATTAAGCAGATGTCTCACAGTGAATCCTTCACTGCAAATCAGATCGTGTTGTGTCAGGTTATAGAGAATCTGAGAGTCAGGTTTCAGCGGGCGTGCTTGTCAGCATGCGTAACGAAAGGCAGCCCCGATGGCCTCGCACCTGGAACGTGAGGGTGGATGTGAAAGATTATAAACCCAGTTTGTTACAATTACTAAATGAATGTATTTTAGTTAATTTAGAAGTGGTACTTCTGACCTCGGTTGATCATAGGGAATTGGAAATTGGTTTGTTATTTGGAGTGAGGAGGAATTCTGTTTGCTTTCTGTTGCCAGGTGTACTGCGTGCTGGGTTTTCCTTGGGGAAATTCTCATGAGAGCTAAAGTCTTTGTAAGTCTTTGGTTACTAACACATTACAAAGCAAGTTCTTAAAAGATATTCTGGTGCTGAGGTTGGGTTGTGGTGTTTGACGTGGTCTTACTACTTGAAGACCGTCCGTATAGCTGGTTTTTGACATTTTTTCTGGTGTATATCCTCGTCTTGAACACTCAGATGTACAAGACCCTACTTCCCTTTCGTATACTCTCCTAACTGCATGAGTCGGGAAGTATTCCCTTGCTAGCTAGCATCTGTAAGGGTTGGAAGCAATTTATGCAATGAGCATTAACTGAGCCCACCCGACATTAGTATTTAGAGAAGCCCTTTCTGTGGCAGCCGCCTTCATAAATGGGAAGGACACTGGGGGAGGAGGAGAGTTTTGCCAGTCCCCTACATGGGTGCCATGTTTCTAGAGAAGCTGCCTAAAGCAGCCTTAACTCGGAGGCAGAGGAGGGCAGCAAGACTTTATACTTTGAGACGATGGAAGGTACTTTGCCACTTCCACACCTGTGGAATCTGGGAATTGAACACCGAATTGATAACTGTAACTCACAGCTCAGTCGTCTTTGCATGAGGTCGTGGCAAAACTAACAAACAAGATACAAACATAAGCTACGCAGTAACGGTCATGTTATTTCAGTTTTAGCCATTTCTTACAGAAAACGTATGCTATTTGGCTTGTAAAACTTTCTTTCTCATTTACGTTTCTTGATCCATTGTAAGCTACTTGTGTTTTCTTTGTTGAATTTATTTTTAGTGTTTGTTCTTGCCACTTGAAACCAGAATATCGTCAAGTGCTTAGCTCCATGAAAGGCTGACTTCACCAGTGAAGCTGGCTAAAATAGTTCTTATCATAGAATCATGGAATGGTTTGGGTTGGAAGGGACCTTAAAGATCATCTAGTTCCAACCCCCCTGCCATGGGCAGGGACACCTTCCACTAGACCAGGTTGCTCAAAGCCTCATCCAGCCTGGCCTTGAAGACATCCAGGGATGGGGCATCCACAGCTTCTCTGGGCAACCTGTTACAGTGCCTCACCACCCTCTCTGGGAAGAATTTCTTCCTGATATCTAATCTAAACCTCCCCACTTTCAATTTATACCCATTACCCCTTGTCCTATCACTACAGGCTCTTGTAAAAAGTCCTCTCCCAGCACCCTTGTAGGCCCCCTTCAGGTACTGGAAAGCTGCAATGAGGCTTCCTAACCCCCAGTTACTGTCACCAAAATGAACTGAGTTAAACAAAAAACCCCATTGGGCTAATGCCACCATCTCTTCTCCTTTTTGAAGACCATTCTTCCCCCAGATCTCCTAAGTGATGCTGTCCCAGCTACGCTGGCTGCAGCAGGGGGTGACGAACTGAGCTGTGTTAGGGTCAGTAATTCTGTAAATGGGCTTCCCTGGCGAGGGCAGGATCCTGTGAAAACACGCTCTCCTGGGTTGTCGCTCTGCATTAACATCTGTCCTTCTCTCCGGTGCTGGTAGGTGCAGTGATTTTGTTGCCTAACCAGAACAAGAAGATGATTTGGGCAGGAGGGCTTTCCTTCAAAAATGTTTCCAGAAGTGCAAAGACAGAAACTTAATAACTGAAAAAAACAAGAAAATGTTTGCTTTCCTCCTGAGGAAACATGCCGTCAAGCAGGTTATCTGAAATGCATACTCCTCTTTGCTTGCCGAGACTTCAGAAATAATTACTGAAATCACTTGTCTGTGAAGACCGGGTCTAGAAACCGACAGATGAGGAGTTGTGCTGAAATCAGCCAGAGAACTTTTGTTGGTGCCCTGCATGTGAGCGAAGAAAAAGACGAGAAACTGCTTCTTATTGGGTCTTACTAGCATTAGAGCGGCGAGTAGTCACAGTTGAGTCAAAGGTCAGAACTTTGCTACCTGAAGATAACCAGATCCATGAGCAGAGACGGAGGGACATCATCGTCTGCATGCTGCTAATCTTAAAGCCAACTGTGGGCTGGGTTGACCCTTGATGACTATTTAGATAAATATAGTCTAAAATAAATGTCACCCATATGTAACCCGTTTTAGAATCAGTTGACTCGCGGGTTTTAATTAACACCATCTTAGCAAGCATCCATATCTGTGTAGATAGGAGAAATGATATTTAAACAAACTCTGCCGTCAGTTGAGGAACATCCAGCAAAAATGGAAAGGATCTGTTTGGATCCTTCCCAAAAATGGAAAGGACCTCATGTTGGAGGCTTGCTGCATGCAGGACTAACCCGATGTGCGTTAGGAAATGGCACTTCTTAAATGATTTTACGTAGCAGGGATTAAGACAAAGTCTAAAAGGCTGGGCAGAGTTGCTGCTCTTGTACTAGAGAGCCTAAACACCAGATCCTAAATGCTGACTCCCTGCGTAGGGACAGGAGGACGGCTCCTCGGCTTTGTGGCCTTGGGGTGCATATGGGATTTAATGCATAACTCAAGACACAGGTTCCTCAGATGTGGAGTCCTACGTGCTCAACGTGAGCTGCAGGTGATGACTTGCAAACAAGGTGTGCGTGCAGTCAAAATGCAAACACTTCTGGCACACTGAATTTTTACTTCCTGCTCAGTCACTGGCTGGTCTAGATTACTCAAAGTAAACGTTTCTCACATAATGAGGTCAAAAATCTGCTGAGGTCGACAGCCTGCGGTTATGGCTTCCTTACTGAATCTCGGTCTGTGCTGCTCTGAAGGGCATATTCTATTTATATACGGCATAACTCCAGCTAGAAATTAAAGAAAAAATCCTAAACACACAAAAATGTGTCAAGCAGAAGTGAAAGTGGATGATCTGCTTTCCCTGGCAACTTCTGCATCCTGCTAGTTACTGACAAAGGCCCCACAGCATGTAAGTAGTTCTGTGCATCGCTTTTTATCAATATGGTCTTTGCAGGGCGTTTTTAGCCGTTGAAGGGACTTTGCTGCCTCTTATGCTTCTATTTTCCATGACTGGGAAGATGCGTTGTTGCTGTCAAGCAGGAAAGCAGTATCGTGCCCTTGGGTGTCATACCCTTGGGCGTCATACCCTTAAGGATAGCTGTCCCCGAGTTTTGGGTTGTGGTTTACGTGCCGCTGTCCCTGCTTAAGACTCCAGTGCATCTGAAGATACTTGTGGAGATCAGGGGGGGGTTTATTATGGTCGTTCTATGGCTTAGCTCAGTCAGCTGAGCTCTGAATTCTCCCAGTTTCCTTATGGGAAAGTTCATCTGTTTACCTTCTGGTGCCGATTGGGATTTCTCATATGTTTTTAGTTAGCATTCTGTGTACAGTATGGAAGTTACATGTTTCAGTCCTTCCTCATCCCAGCCTGTAAAACTCCCCGAACCACCCCTTGGGAGGGAGCGTGTTGGCATTCTGATCAGAAAACGAGCGATAAGTACGCCGCGTTTCCTCCAGCTGCTGAGCGCTTGGGAACTCCAGTGTATATAGCACGCGCTTTTTCTGGATTGGGGCTTACTGAGGGCTGTTGCTCATCACAGCCGACTGCCCTTTTTGCTCACATCCTGGGTGTTGTGTTCTCTCAAAGGAACTTCTGTACGCTTGTTAGCTGAAACTCCCCAGGCGTAATGGTTGTAGCAGCAATTCCGTTAATGGTTCCAAGTAACGCGGGTTACGTTTTAAAACAAGCTGATAGCGATTGCAGCTGACACCTACTCTCTTGCAAATACAGGAATCATTTCTGATGTGATCCGTACGGGTTTAGTTACTTCAGATGATTGTTACACTTTCATGTGCCCCCTGGAACAAACGGTAGCTCTGTTAAGTTTCTGAGATTGGTTAAGAACTTGCTGTTCCGATTTTCTGCATTTTAGCTCCTGATGTGTGATAATACTTGGAGTTACCTCACTCTTCCTTCCAAAAGCAGTGCAGAAAATGTGCTTTCTTTCCCTTTTCTACAGCTGGCACTCTATGTGCTGTCATTCCTGGAACCCAGGGACCTTCTGCAGGCCGCCCAGACGTGCCGTTACTGGAGGATTCTGGCTGAAGATAATCTGCTCTGGAGAGAGAAATGCAAAGAGGAAGGTAAGGCTGAGCAAAAAGGTGCATGTAGTGGTCAAAACGTTGCCGTCGTAAAAAGTGCAGTTCATTTGCGTCATAAGCTTCAAGTTTTCCGAAGGCGGTTCAGGTGACTTTAAATGTAGCGCTACGTGGTACGTATCTCTGTCGAAAGTACGAAGCCGAAATAACACCTGGCATACTAGAAATGAAACGAGACTTAAGTTTTAATGTCCTGTTTATGATGTATTGTGGGTGTAAGGCTTTAAAATACAATTATTTTACTTTTTAAGAATTATTTTTATTTGAAATGCAGCCAAAGCAAATAAGAACTGAGATGTAAAAATGATAGGAGTGCAGTCTTGCTGTCTGTAAATAACATGGAGGAAAAGCTGTTTCAGTGGTCGGGGAGAAGGGTAGTTTCACGTCATTTGTAGGAAAACGGACAGAGAAGTGGCGTGGAGGGGGGGAAGGTGCTAGTCTGATGGCTGAGAGAGGGACACACAGTCGTAAGCCACGTGGATAGCGCCTGCTGATGCCGAATCGGGAAGATGGGGCGGTTCAACAGTAATGCGAATGGGCAATAGAAGGGCTCCCAGGGAAGCAGCCGCATGTGTGAGCACAAGAAGAATGTAAGCTTTTCTTTTTAAGGAGAATTAGGTGAATGTCATGGTTTAGGCCCAGCTGGGAACAAAAGACCAGGAGATGGGATGGGGAGGAGAAAGTACAAGGAAAAGTGTGTGGCCTGAGGCAAGGACAGGGCAGGATCGCTCACTAGTTATCGTCTTGGGCAAAACAGACCTGACTTGAGGAAGAAAAGTCAATTTAACCAGTTAGCCATCAAGATGATGAGAGACAAATCTAAACCGTTCTTCAAAACCTTCCCCCCACCCTCCTTTCTTCCCGGGCTGCCTCCTCAGAGCACGGAGACCAGAGCTTGGGAAAGGGCGGTGCAGAGCCTTTGAAACAAGGTGACAGTGTGAAAGTAGCTGGCTATTTGTAAGGGCACCCAGAGCAATGAGTGTTCTTTTGCGATGGAAACCGGGTGACTAACCTCTGGAATCTAAGCTGCTCCTCTTACAAATCTCAGCGAAAATGCATTAAGAGGGCAGGATGAGAAAAAAGGAGAAGGTTGCGAGGGGACCGCACCTGCACGTGCGAGCCAAGAAGTAAAACTACGGCCAGGCACGAGAGCTCGTACAAAGAGGGGAGCCCTGCAGCCTGCTTGGCCTCAGCGAGCTGCTGAGTGATAGGAAGGAGCAGTGAATTCCAGGCCTGCAGGTAGAGGTGCCCGAGAAGGGGCTAAAAGCAGGAGCATGGTCCACATGCTGGCACGAGACGAGACTCCGGCTAGTCATGAGATGCGGTGGAGGGAGGAACTACATGGAAAAGGGAGATGGGGGAGAGGATTGGGGAAAAAGAAATGGAAGCAGCAAGGCTAAACCAGAGCGCTGCCGCTTCAGTGTCAGTTCAGAGAGGGCGTCGCTGTGCGTACATTCCTGCCGGGGGAGGACAGCCCCAGAAGCACACAGCCCTTGGAGTCAAGGAAAGAATTAAGAGCTCACGGTTGTCTAGAGTCGGGGTGAGTCTAAAGGTAATGAAGATGGGTGCCCAGAGAGTAGCACGGACAGGCAGGTGTACTTCCTGAAGGGTTACAGAACGAGCGCACGAGTGGTTATGGAGTTGGTTGGATGATGCCCGTTTGGAAAAGGCAATATTCTGCGACATTGCCTCAGAGGGGGATTCAGAACCAAGCTAGGTGGCCAGCGAGGAGCCATGAACTAGAGCATTTTCAGCCCCGGTGACAGCAACAGTTGTGCTGAAAAGGCAAGGAAAGGTGGAGTATAAATGGCTGAGGAGCAGGGCAGCGTCACTGACGCGATGCAGGTACGCGGGAGGTTGTTACGCCAGCGCAGTACTTAATGTCTGCGGCTGCTGTAAAGACTGGGGAGGCAAAGAAGTTGTTTTCTTTGGGGTGGCCTCATCACTCCCCCTTCCCTCTTTCTTCCACGTTCATTTCAGGGATTGACGAACCGTTACATATCAAGAGGAGGAAAGTAATAAAACCAGGCTTTATACACAGTCCGTGGAAAAGCGCCTACATCAGGCAGCACAGGATTGATACCAACTGGCGGCGAGGAGAACTTAAATCACCCAAGGTGAGTAACAGCTTTAAACTGAAAGAGGGTAGATTAGGTTGGATATCAGGAGGAAATTCTTCCCAGAGAGGGTGGTGAGGCACTGGAAGAGGTTGCCCAGAGAAGCTGTGGATGCCCCATCCCTGGAAGTGTTCAAGGCCAGGCTGGATGAGGCTTTGAGCAACCTGGTCTAGTGGAAGGTGTCCCTGCCCGTGGCAGGGGGGTTGGAACTAGATGATCTTTAAGGTCCCTTCCAACCCAACCCAGTCTATGGTTCTATGCATATGCCAGTCTCTTGGAGACAGATCATCTCAGAAACTGGATTGGAGCTACTTATATTCAAAATTAAACATACACACACATACATAATGTCTATATTTGTAGAGCTGGGGCCATGTCGCAACATAAGAATACTCCACATTGTGTGAACATTTCATGATTTATTTTTATACGTGTTCTTATAAATGGAACAGCACAAGACAGGAACTTCATTCCATGTTAAGATTTCTTTGGTTTCTGAACTGTTGAAATACTGTAATGATATTGGTGTATTACCCTTGCACCTTTTGCAGTACAGAGGTAGAAAGCAATACTTCCAACATGGTGTAAAATAAGATAGCAACTGTCTAATCAACCCTGGTCTTGGACAAGCAGTCAGAAAGATGAAAAAACCTCTATTAGTAGCCTTTTAAGGTTTTAGGACAATTAGCCCGTTGTCTTGATTACTGCACAACATGAGGACAAAAGAATTCCCGTGGAAAACCTATGGCTACATCCTGCTGTTTATTTGGCCGTGACTTACGTACATCTCTGGCAACAGCTCCGTATTTCTTGCCCTGATACACCACATCAAGCTATCTTGGGTTTATTATTAAAATTACAGCCCCGGGCATTTTCCAAATGCCCATTTCATTTCGATGAACATCTTGAAAAATGTTCAGATATCTTAAATAAAAATACCCTCATCCTCTATGCTGATAAGGGTTTTTTTCTTTCTTGCAGTAAAATACACTGAATTGCAGTTTTTCCCACATCAACCATTGAAAATCCCTCCTCTGTAAAGCACCTTTCCAGCACATGAAATTTTGGCTTTTGTTTGTATTTAACTGAGTTAACGGTTTTCTAGTTTATGATTTTGGTGCTGCCTGGCACGTAATGGGTTACGATGCTTGCTGGTGAGGGCAACAAGGGTGTCCTCGGCCTTGACGGCCGAAATCCAACCCTGCAGCAAATACCACAGCCCCATCCTTTTTGTTCAAGACTGAAACAATTCCTCAGCAGTAAAAGCCCGAGCTAAAACCTCACCTGAAAATTAAGGAGCTGGGATAACTGCAGAGGAACTGAGCAGTGTCCAGTTGCTAATTCAGCCTACTTTTGTTAGGGATTTTTCCTGGTGCTTTTAGGGGGCTTACAGAACCATAGTGTGCTTGCTAAGGAGGAAGGAAAATACCTTCTTGGGTCCCAGCTGGCGGTAAATTAGACCTGACAGAGGGGATTAAGGGGTCTTATTATTATTGAAGCAACTCCAGCATTTTACAGTTTATGAATCAGAAGAGCGCTGTTTCTCCTGCTTCTCGCTCATCTCCCGCGTTACACTCTGACCGGAGGCTTTGCTGTTCCTTCTCGCCAGGTGCTCAAAGGCCACGATGACCACGTGATCACGTGCCTTCAGTTCTGCGGGAACCGCATAGTGAGCGGCTCTGACGACAACACGCTGAAGGTGTGGTCAGCGGTCACCGGCAAGGTAAGGCGGCCGTTCTGCTGGGTGCCTTGGGAAGGGCGCTGGGATGTCGGAAGTGCCGCTCTGCCCTCCCACCGGGCTGCAGGGTGGTCTCTGTGCCGTCTGCTGCAAGGGTCGGAGAAAGGGCCGCCGAGCCTTTGGGTCATCCTGTCCTACAGGGACACAAGTCCAGTTCACAAAAGTCACCTTGGTGTGGGATCGCAGTGCCGCTCGCGTTACTGTCGGCAGATCTCCTTGCTCTCCTGGCAATTCTGCTGCTCTTGTAGAGTCGCTTGTGACGTGGATTCTAAAGAATTTGGACAGACACGTTACTTTATCTTACTTAAAGCTTAATTTAGCCTGCTTTTACCCCTCCGGAGCAACGTTTCTTGCTTGTCTTCTAGCATTCTTTCTGTCATTTTCAAGTTACTGAAATGGGGGGTCGTTTTACCAGCTCTGATTTCACATACAGAGCTTGTCCTTTCGGGCTCCTATACTGCTGAGCCACCAGGAGAAAAAAAGGAGCTTGCTTTAGGTTTAAATATTTCCTATTAAATTAGATCCAGCTCAGGCAGGAATTTAATAAGCTTCAATAATTTAATTTTGGCTTAGAGAAGCAAAACAACGTGCGCAGCCGAGCAGACAGCACTGAGCATTTCGCTCGCGTTAGGCCATCACGGCTGCGCAGTGCACAGACTTCTGTTGGAGGTGACCGGCTGACCGCGCTCCCCGGATGGAGGAATGGCCTCAGGGAAACAGCACGTTCTCCTTCGAGGCCGGTACTGCGTGCGCTCAGCTTCACTTTAATGCTCCAGTTAGGTGAACGACGGGGCAGCTGTTGAGGGCGGCGTGTTTAAGATGGAAAAGGTACCCGCTTCATACTGTTGAAACTGAATGTATTAAGCATTTGTCTCTGCATGCCTGGAAGGTCCTTCACGGGATGGTAAATGCTACCGTGGGGAAGAGTAAAATTAAAAGCAGTAGGCAGCCTCGCCCTGCCTCTGCTGGCTTCCCTACAACAAACTGCCTAATGAAGGAACCCATCTTGAAATTTGCATTTTTTAATTGAAAAGGGTAGCCTAAACTCAAATGAAAAACACATCCTTTGTGCAAACCATCCTCTAGAAAGCAAAATGTTCCTTTAAATATATAAAACTGATCGTAGTGGCGTGACTTAACAATTCGTGTTCAGTAGTTTTTTGAAAGTCATTACAAAATCCAAAAGTGACCATTTACCCCAAACCATTAAGAGAGCCAAAAATTGTATGTGCAAG